GAAAAATCGTTTCCATTCCAAAAGAGTTTCCTTAACAAAATATCTCAAAACACATACCCTTCCACTAGTCAGTACCATTTACCTTTTGAACTGAATCCTCACAACTTCCCAAGATCTACTGATATAGTACCCTTTACAGAAGAACCTGCACTAGAGTCCCCTACTGAGAATGGGAATAAAGGAATAAGGATAATTGATGACAGTACTGATATTGAAGAAATGGAAGAAGCTGAGCCAAGTAACATGCAGGCTGATGAGCAGCCTGAACCCTCAGATTTGGGAAGAGAACTGAGAAATGAGCTTGAGATGTCAGAAGGTGAACTGATAACAGAACATCCTATGGTGACTAGATCTAAGTCAGGAATTTTTAAACCAAAAATCTATGCTGATGTTGTGACAAGCACAAACGATAAGATAGAACCTGTGAGTGTAAATGAGGCCCTGAAGAGTGAAAAGTGGTGCAAAGCAATGAAGGAAGAATTTGAAGCTTTGATCAGAAATAACACCTGGGTGCTGGTACCTGCAGATCCAAAAATGAAAGTGATAGGTTGTAAATGGATTTATAAGTTGAAGCATGACACTGATGGAAGAATTCAAAGGTATAAAGCGAAGTAGTGGCAAAAGGATTCCTACAAACATCAGGTATTGACTACTATGAGACTTTTAGTCCAGTTGCTAAGGCACCTACTCTGAAAATCATTCTCACATTAGCTATTTCAAAAGGTTGGGAAGTGAGGAAAGTTGATATAAACAATGTTTTTCTTAATGGAAAATTAGAAGAGACGGTGTTTATGGAACAACTTTAAGGGTTTATTGATCGAGATAAACCACACTTCTTATGCAAACTCAACAAAGCTATCTACGGGCTCAAACAAGCCCCAAGAGCCTGGCAAGATACCTTGAAAGACACTCTGCTGAAATGGGATCTAATGCAGTCGAAAGCTGATAATTCAGTATATTATCAAGTAACTCAAGAGTCTATGATATACCTACTAATTTACGTTGATGATATCATAATTACGGGGAGCTGTGGGACAAGAATTCAAAAGCTAATCGAAAGGCTAAATACCACTTTTGCCTTGAAGGATATTGGCAGCCTGAAGAAGTTCCTAGGGATTGAGTTTATCAGAGATGAAATCTGGTTACATATGCCACAGAAAAGATATGCTATTGGTATGCTAAAGAAATTTGGCTTTGATAATTTAAAACCCAGTATTACACCAATGACAGCAGGAAAATTAGTTGCTAAAACAGAAGGACAAAATCTATAAAACCCAACTCGATTCAGAAGTGCTGTAGGAGCTCTTCAATACCTAACACAAACCAGGCCAGATATTACTTTTGCAGTAAATAGAATCAGTCAGTTTCTTCAATGTCCAACTGATGCCCATTGGAATCTCTTAAAACGACTGTTCAGGTACATCAAAGAGACACTCGAGATGGGAATAACAATTCAGGAAGCACAAGATCTTAACATTGTTGCTTATTGTGAGGCAGACTGGGCCTCATGCCCAGATGCCAGAAAATCAACTGTGGGTTACTGTGTATACCTTGGTGGCAATCTAATCTTCTGGTGCTCTAAGAAGCAGCAAGTGGTAGCAAGGTCCAGTACTGAGGCAGAATATAGGACTCTAGCTCATACTAGTGCCGAAATCACCTGCATTCAATCATTGCTACAAGAACTTCGCATTCCTCATACAGAAGTGCCCGGAATTTGGTGTGATAATCTAGGAGCAAGTGCCTTAGCATCCAACCCAGTGTACCATG